TAAGCTATGAATTGGAGAATGTTATTAGCACTGAAATGAGCTGCAGAGATGGTCTAGCCCTGTATAAGTGGTAGGTAGCACACATGTGACTACTGAGTATTTGAAATGTGGTTAGTCCAAATGGAAATGTGTGGCAAGTGTAAAACATACCAGATTTCAAAGGCCTAATATGAAAAAAATAATGTAAAACATCTTATTCATAATTTTTACATTGACGACGTATTAGAATAATATTTTTATTATGAGGTTACATAAAATATATTATCACAATTATTCTTAAATTTTTATCTTGATCTTTTCAATGTGGCTTTTGGAAATTTAAAATTAGATATGCAGCTCATATTATCTTCCTATTGGACAATGCTGATCTCGCCCTCGTCAGTCACATTGTGGGCCATGGACCAGCCGCATGGGTTGCATTCACCACCTGAGAGCTTGTTGGAAATGCAGAATTCAGGCCCCATCTCCAACCTACTGAATAGGAATCTGCATTTTAACAAAATCCCCAGGTGACTGATATGTATATTAAGTTTGAGATTTGCTGTGTAATCCAACCGCCTCATTTAACAAATGAATAAACTGAGGCCCAGGGTGGTAACCTGGCTTGTTCATGGTTACCTGGTTGGTTGCCCTAAAGCCTGATTCCCCAGTGGTCTTGAAACTTCCACATACCCCACCCTCTACCGCAGACCCTTCCATCTCGTAGAGTAAAAATAAAACAGACTGCTGCTTCACTAGCAAGGAAATAAAACATAGTATTGTAAATAGATAAGAAAATAGTGTCCTCAGGGATACTTATAACAGAATTCTAGGGTATTCCTTAGCACTTGTGCAGCCAAGTTACTCCACAAGAATGGAGAAAACCTGTGCTTTCTAAACTATTCCTACAAATAACCTCCTTGGGTGGTTAAAAAAAAAAAAAAAAAAAAAGGCAGGGTTTGATTCCTGGAATCAATAATGTGTCAGTTGCTGAGTCAGTAAAAACAATTTAGAAACTGATTCCTTTAGGATAAGTAAGAAGGTGAAAGAAGGAATTTCAGTTTTGTAACTCAGCTCCTTGTGGGTGGGTTTGAGTCATTCTTTGAATGTCCAGCTCCTCACAATTGTTTAGCACATGGAAGGCTTTGAATAAGTGTGTTGAATGCACAGATTAGTTTCCATAGATTAGGACTTAACCCTCAGGAAATATTCCCTCCTTTACATTGTGTGGTAACAATGTAAAGAAATTCAGGAAAACACTTAAGTATTTAACTCTAGCTAAAATTAGTACTACTTTTAGGTTAAAATTTCTTTGGAATTAAGCACATTATTAAGAAAAATTTCAAATGGATACTAATTTTGCTCATGAAAATAAAATCCATCACATAGAAAGAGGAGGTTCCAGGTAAATTAATATTGACAAGTAATTCCAAGGAGCAGAGGTTGTTAAAATAGTTTCACTCATTTTTGTAAAGATTTTTACTAAGACAGATTAATCAAGCCTAATCAATTTCCAGTACACTGTACATATGGCCCAAATGTTTTCTCATAAAAGATCTCTTCTTTGTGTGCCAACTGAAAAATGTGGATTTAACGTAGGAAATGAATTTCTGTGTTATATGAATTGAATAACTAAGTAGACTAGGAAGCACATTATTGGGATTATTTTTTCAAATGATGTAAGTCATATAGGAAGGAAAGTTTAACTCCCACTCTCTTCCTTTCAATTGTCCTATTTCCTCATGTTTTATCCATTACTCATTTCAGGTTTTGTTATTAACCTAAATAAAATAATAGGACATCAATCCTGCTTGTCATATGTAATAATGAACAATGACTGTTGCACATAATTATTAGAATGGTAATAATAAAAATAATAGGCCAGAATATTAACTTATATCATTAATTTGGCAATGACATTATGTACTGCCTTACAACATTTCTTCTACTGATATCTTAAGTAGATATGGAATGACTCATTCATTCATTCAACATTTGTTGAGCACCTAAATGCCAGGCACTGACAAAGCTTCTAGAAAAACGATAACCAATAAATCAATTCCTGCCCTCCTGGCACATTTATTCTCATGGAAGAAGCAAACAATAAACACATAAATGATGAAATATGTGGTACATCCGGTTCTTTTTTTAAAAATATATTTTATTGATTTTTTACAGAGAGGAGGGGAGAGGGATAGAGAGTTAGAAACATCCATCAGCTGCCTCCTGCACACTCCCCACTGGGGATGTGCCCGCAACCAAGGTACGTGCCCTTGATCGGAATTGAACCTGGGACCCTTCAGTACTAGGCCGATGCTCTATCCACTGAGCCAAACCGGTTAGGGCGGTACATCCGGTTCTGATGAGTGATGTGGAGAAAATTAAGGAAGGAAATGCAAAGGAAGGCAAGACTATTTTATATAGGGTGGTCTCTCTTCATTTTGAGTGGGAACCTGAACAAAAGCAAGGGAGGAGGCCATGCAGATACCTGGGAGAGGGCTGCCTGGTCAAATGGAACAAAAGTACACAGGCCCTAAGGCAGGGAAATGCTTAGCAGCTTGAAGAACAACACAGAGGCCAGTGTGCGTGTGGGAAGAGGAAAGAACACAGGCAAGAGCAGGAGATGAAGTCAGAGAGGTAGAGGGGCCAGACCAGATAGGACCATGTACAACTTCGAATGTGCCTTTCAGTACAAGGAAAAGCCACTAGAGGGTCTAGCAGAGACGTGACATCTGACTTCCCCTTTAGAAGGAATCACTCTACCAGGTAGCTGCTGTGTTGGAAACACACTGTAGGGACCAAAGCAGAAGCAGGACTTAGAAAGTTATTATAATAATCAAGGCAGGAAATGGTGACTTGGACCAGGATGACATGTTGGAGATAATGAAATGGTATAAAATTTAGACATATTTTGAAGGTAAAAGTAGCAGGATTTGCAGGTGGATTAGAAGTAGTGTCTGGGAAGACTTGGAGTTTTTTGAGCAATGGAGATATCAGTTCCTGGTGAAACTGAGACATGAGTTGATTTGGTTGAAGGGGGGAGCAAGAGAGGAAAGATCTGAGATTTCTTTTAGAGATGAATTTAAGATGGTTTTAAAATATTCATTCTTGAAAAAGTAGATAGACTAGGACAGAGTTCAAGGGAAAGGTTGAGGTTGGCATCCTTATCTCAGTCCTTGAGACAAGAGATCATATGAGTGGAAATGGAGCCAGAAGGAGTTTAGGACAAGACTTAGAATACACAACACTGAAAGCAGGTGATTGTGGTTTAACGGTTCAGATGCTTAGCATTGTCATCCCCCAACCAAAAAGTTAGTTCCCTGAGGCCATCCAGCCCAGTCTATACAGTCCTCATTATACACTTTGCCTATGGTGGGTGTTCAATAAATATTTGGTAAACTAGTGAATAGAAATTACTTAGTGCCAAGCAATGTTTGGAGGGATTACCAAGATAAAGAAAAAGTATGGAATGGCCATATCTGGCATCTTTTCCAGTCCCCATCACTCCTCCCTGTGAGAGAGAGACTGACTCACGTGCTTGTTGAATTTGGAAACAAAACTGAGACTGGAGGCTCAGCAGATTCTGGGCTCTTGCTTTTTCCAGAGGATAGGTCTGACGTTCTAAGTAAGCTTGCCATTTGGGCACACAAATCTCAGTGTGTTGTTATATGGTCTTTTATGACTGCTTTCTTTTACTTGTACTGTTTTCAAGGTTCATCCATATTGCAGCATGCATTAGTCCTTCATTCCCTCTTATGGCCAAATATTTTCCATTGTGAGGATATACCACATTTTGATTATAGACATTTGAATTGTATCCACTTTTGGCTATTATGAATAACTAGAGTCCCAGTGCATGAATTTTGTGCAGGGGGGGGGGGTCCCCCTCAGCCCAGCCTGCACCCTCTCCAATCTGGCACCCTCTCACAATTCGGGACTGCTGGCTCCCAACTGCACCTGCCTGCCTGCCTGATTGCCCCCTAACCACTTCCCTGCCAACCTGATTGACGCCTGACTGCTCCCCTGCTGGCCTGATCACCCCTAACTGCCCTACCCTGCTGGCCTGATCGCCCACAACTACCCTTCCCTGCAGGCCATCTTCTGGCTGTGGGCATGGCCATCTTTGAGGGCAGGGCAGTCAATTAGCATATTCCCTCTTTATTAGATAGGACACTGCTATGAACATCCACGGTCAAGCTTTTCTATAGACATATGTTTTCAATTCTTGTGGTTCTATACCTGAGAGTGAAATTATTAAATGGTACCAGTAGGTTTAGCTTTCTGAGGAAATTCCTATTCTTCAAGATGGATGCTCCATTTTATATTCCAACCAGAGATTTGTGAAGGTTCTGATTTCTCCACAACATTTGTTATTGCCTGTAACCATCCTACTGGCTGTGAAGTTGTAACTCATTGAAATATAGGTTTTCATTTTTCGGATGGATAATGTTTAAGACTTTCTGATATGTACCATTTGTATAGTTTTCTTTATTCCTTCCACACAGACTGGCTTGGGCCCTATTTCAATTGTACTGGATCGTTTCTATTTCTTCCATTGAAAATAAAGCCGCGATGAAGACTTGCAGGCACGGGGTCTAGTTAGTTTCGCTTATTTGAATCGTATTCTGGCACTGCATTTGGGTATCCCTGAGTCAGATGAGACAAATCCCGGGATCTCCCGCGGCGCAGGGCCCTTTTGCCTGTCAGGCAAGTCCCCGGAGGGTCAAAGCGCGTCCCCGCCTCGCGCCGCGTCACCGAAGTCCCGCCCGCCCGCCCGAGACCTGCGCGCGGCGCGCGAGGGGCCGGTCCGCGC